TCTTTACTTCTATCTTTTTCTCTCCATCTTTCTTTATCTCTTTTTCTTTCTTTTATTCTCTCTCTTTCTCTATCTCCAACAGCGTAATGTGTGCAGTTATAAGAGCTAAAGCAGGGTTCGAAAATATTATGATTATTCGTAAGGCTAAACAGTTGAATACTTAATTACATGCTCATTCATAATTATATCTTTTTTTACATGTATAAAGAATATTTAACAGATAGGCTGTCACTCTGAACACAAAGTCGACATCTCTGCTATCATTCCCATTATATCCTATCTCGTGTTAAAATATAGCACAAAAATAAGAAACAGAAACACATCGACACCACCCTTTCTCTAGCAAAAAAAAACCAAAAAACAAATTTTACAAAAAATACAAAACAACAAAGAAAGATAATATTGAATTATTATTATATCAAAGATAATAATATTATTATTATTATTATTATTATTATTATTATTATTATTATTATTATTATTATTATTGTTATTATTATTACTATTATTATTATTATTATTATTATTACTATTACTATTATTATTATTTTTATTATTATTATTATTATTATTTTTATTATCATTATTATTATTATCATTAGTAGTAGTAGTAGTAGTAGTAGTAGTAGTAGTAGTAGTAGTAGTAGTAGTAGTAGTAGTAGTAGTAGTAGTAGTAGTAGTAGTAGTAGTAGTAGTAGTAGTAGTAGTAGTAGTAGTAGTAGTAGTAGTAGTAGTAGTAGTAGTAGTTGTTGTTGTTGTTGTTGTTGTTGTTATTATTATTATTATCATTATTATTATTATTATTATTATTATTATTATTATTATTATTATTATTATTATTATTATTATTATTATTATTATTATTATTATTATTATTATTATTATTATTATTATTATTGAGGAGGGGGTGTTTTTATTTTGAGTCATAAAAATTACAGGTTGAGAGGTTGGATGTGTATTTAACGTATTCAAATGTTGTATCAAGCATTCGTAATTAGTGCAGCTTCTGAATTTTTAACACTACTTTATTTCGTTTGCTTTAGCTTAATTTTGTTTTAAGGATCTATTGACACTTATTAGTCATGTAAGCGCCGTAAAGAGATTGACTATACTAGACGTGTTGTGTACTAATGTCTAAAAGGACAGACTGTAAATTTCCCAAAAATATGGTACAAATTTTAACATCATAGATTTGCAATTTTGTAACAGTTTTGAAAATGTATATCATTTTCCAACTTAAATGATTTGTTTAATTAAAAACTAAGGTTCCTCTTCTACTCAATAAGCTCAAAAAGAGTTCTTAACTCTTCTACCATTCAGGAATTGTGCAGCAGCTTTCCGTATTAAGTGAACCGTGCAGTAACTAGATCTAACTCTTTCACTTACAGCGTAGACCAGGGAGGTGCTGTAAGGTAAGGTTTGTAGCGCGCGCCTTGCTTGTTTTTCAATGTAGCGAGAGAAAACTAAATAAAAAAACGAAAAAAGAAAGATTTAACCCAAAAAAAACAACAACAAAAAAAACCCAAACCCAAACACCTAATGAGTTGTCTGCAACGCTCGGTTTGTTGAGGCGGGAGACGCGAGAGAAATCCCAGGGGGAACACTTTACATGATGAGGAACGTATGTTTTGTGCTGTGTTGTGCTACAGTTTGGGTTGAACGGTAGTGTGGGTTCAACGACCATCTCAATATCTCTGTTGGGGGGACTTTGTCGTGTATTTGACGTCTGTCTCCGATACGAATTAAAAGAGCGAAGTGGGTGGAAAACAAAGTGGGTGAAGAACGAAGTGGGTGGGTGTCGAGGCTGAAATCACGTGTAAAATAAGTTTTAGTTCAAGGACTTATTGTTGTGTATTGCAGAAAAGATTGAACGACCTTTTCGTCTTCGGTTAGGTTATTCAAAAAGTAGCGGGTTGTGCCTAATTTAGCGTCTGTCTCCGATACGAAAGAGTAAAAGAAAAATGGATGGAGATCCGCGTTGAAAACGTCTAAAACAACCGAAGCTAAAATAAATGACCCCCTGGTCTTCTGGGTAGGAGTCTTTTTTGGGGGGGGGGCTAATTAACTCTTTAAGGACATAGTGGCCATCCATGTCCATCACCCGCACCAAAGGCAATGTTGTGACACATTCTGAACCCCTATACACAAATCAGAAACACGAATTATCAGATTTAGTAAGCAGCATGCATGTTGTTAACTGCCTTTTAACGTTTCAGATAAAGAAAACATAACTTTAAAAAACAAACTTATATGAATAACGAAGTTTCGCTTCTCTTATAAAACTACCCCAACTTTAGCGCGTCTTCAAACATTGTTGTATGACCAGAAAGTGCGTTCTCTGTGAGTTAAGCAAGACATCATCTACATAAGTCGCGCATGTACCCGATGAGAAACTTATTCAGCCATCTTACATTTGACTACCAATGTTTTATTTTGATATGACCTCTTTCTCTCCTTAACTGTATGAGCCAACAGCTGTGGCGCTGTGTCTGACCCCGTCTAAACCCACAATCAGGGATTCAGATTTCGATTCCGATGCAGTCTGATATTATCTGGTTCTTTGTCAAACATTTATTTCTGCCCATGCCTATTTAGTGACAGGGGACCAGGAGCCTCTAAAAGATCGGTCATGGTCGAATGTCTGTTTGCTCATTGAAATGAATTACGCAAAGACACCAGCGTCGGTTATATAGCGGATAGGCACTTCGCCATCGTATGCAGAAGACCTGACTGGGCTCCTGACTCTGTCTGCAGCCTTTCTACTGCTACTCCCTGGCTCCTTCTTACAGCTGTTTCTCAGCCATACCCCTGATCTTCTGGTAGGAAAGATCTACACCTAGCCTTCTCGGACAAGGGTGAAAAAAACCCAGAGGTTCCGTATGCAAGATGCGCACGTTAAAGATTCATTGGTGGTCTAAAATCGACAAGAGTAGGCTTCGGCCGCCACCCGGCAAAATTCAGCATTTCCTACTAACTGAAAATGTTTAATGTGTCCCGTGCGCTCATATGATCTTATTTAGTTGCGAGCGCCGTAAAACAATTACCACAAAAAAGGAGACGTGAACTCGATTCTCGTCAGAGAAGAATTAATTTATTTCGAGTTTCTCCGTCTTTCTGCTGGGCCGTTATTTGTGTCCCTCTCAGCCCAGGTTGAGCCTGATGACAGTAGAGGGTCGAAGCAGCACGGCCTCTAAAATATCTGAACTGTGTCGATATGGGCACAAAACATCTACTATTTTATTACAATGACAATGACAATCTTTATTAATCTCGGAAGCAGAAATTTGTCGGGGTCGTTTACAATGGCAGTAGATGTTACAAACGTTAGGTGCACTCTTGCATACGCATAAAACTGGACGTGAGTGAATTAGTAAATACACAAAGACTAATACTTCAATTCAAACTCGCATTTAAACGATGACGGGCACTGTTTCGCCAGAGAGAACAACATTAATTTATTTTTGTGAGATAATTAGGGGGTGGGAGAGGGTGGGGAGGTTATGTTGTTGGACATTTTTCGTCAACTTTGATATGACGTGTGAGTGGTGTGCTTTTAACGGCCACATATCATGTTATATTTAACTGCCTGATGGTTTTAATCCCAAAATAAGAAGTAATCACGGTATCATACGGTCACAAGCACTTCAAAGCCCAAACAAGTCTTGTTACTTTTCTGTCGACAAAACTTAAAAAACTGCTTCATTTTAGAAAAATAAAGACTGCATTATCTCCATTGCAAAATCTATCAGCTTTTTTTCAACCTCAAAGTTCCCTTTATTGTTATACCAAATTTTGTTGACAACGTTTTTATCCATAACGTTCTCTAAGAAATACTTCCTTAACAAATTCTGTTGACATAATTTTTAACCGCAACTCTTTCCATATTCAATGACAAAATTTGTTAACAATGTTTATAAACCGGAACGTTCTCTTTATTTTCACAAATAATTATGTTATTGCTGTTTAATCAATACGTTCTCTATTTTTCCATTACAAATTCATTTGCCAATGTTTGTAACCAGGACATTTTCTTCATTTCTATTAAAGATTCTGTTAACTAAATTTTCCACCCCACCGCTCTTTGCATCTCTTTGCAAAGTCCCCTCTTTTCTTGTGAGCTGCTATTTCCGGGGTGCCTTGATAGTCGAAGCAGACTTTGTGATGTAGAAGCTAGAGAGGTGAGCAGAGTAAGCCTGATTCCCTGTTTGGACTTCTCTGTTGACATCCACCTCTTTGCGCTCATATGACCTTATGCAGTTGCGAGTGCGTAAAAATTACTAAAACTAACCTAGATCTCCTCTTTATTATAATAATATATTATTTGGATAACGAACCATGTTAACATTTTATTAACCTCCACATTCTCTGGAATTTAGGAAAGAGTCACAGAAATTGATGTATAGAAAAGTGGGAGGCCGTGGAATAACATCAAGTGCAAAGCCCAGAATAGGGAAAGGTGGAAAGGGTTTTTGGTTCGTGGACTATACCTTCCAGAGTGAAAAGACAATGATGTTGATGGCATTCTAGTTATGCAAGTTTCAATTTTATTGTGACAATTCGTGAATTTTTATTGCATTGTATATTTCTTAGTGAACGCATTGTCAAGATCACTGTGAGACTGCTTTTCTCATAGAGATCTTTATACATCATAAATAATATATATATATATATTATATATATATATATATATATATATATATATATATATAATACATGCATTATACTGTTTAACGTACACACATGTCGATTAATTTCTAAGATGTGATTTTTTTAAATGTAATGGCATTGAGCAATTTTTTTAGAATATGGAAATGCGCTTCATAAATGCTATTTACTATTATTATTATTATTATTATTATTATTATTATTATTATTATTATTATTATTATTATTATTATTATTATTATTATTATTATTATTATTATTATTATTATTATTATTATTATTATTATTATTATTATTATTATTATTATGACATTCTCAATTGTTATCTTCCCCAGAAGTACCCAGGCCAGTCTCTCTACGATGCAGGAATCTCCTCAACCGCAGGGCCGGGAGGAGGGGGAGGGGGAGGAGGAGGAGGAGGAGGGAGTGGGAATTTTCTGGACAGTGGTCACCACCACCCCCACCACCCCCACCACCACCTGCTCGACAAAGATTCCCGAGAGCTGGACAAAGCCGCCCAGCCCAAGGCCACCCATTATCTGACCACAAACTGTGTTCTGTTCACGTACTTCAGCGGGGAGACATCAGCGGTCGTAGACGAGCACTTCTCACGCGCTCTCAGCCAGCCCAGTAGCTACACATTGGATAAGCCCCCACCCGCCAACAAACCTTACAACAGATCTGGTGAGTACAACATTGCATTGATGTATCTTTTTTGTTTATGTATTTATTTATTCATCTATTCAACCTTTCAAATAGTCAGTATATATTTATTTATTCATTTATTTATTTATTCATTCCTTTATTTATTTATTTATTTATCTATTTATTTATTTATTTATTCATTCATTCCTTTATTTATTTATTTATTTATCTATTTATTAATTTATTTGTTTATTTATTTATTGTAACGGTATATCATACCGGTATCTATTAGGAGTATTTATTAGCGTACACAGTATCCCGGTCTTCCTTTTGTGACGTTGTATCTTTTCACACCGGGTGGCCCCTGACAGGCAGGCTCGACGCCTGTCGCCTCAGTATCTAAATTGTGTCAATGGCAGTGGAAAAAGACCAAAATTAAAATATACATAATATAAATATTATTCTATTATACCCAAGCTGTTCGTGGGCCCTTGTGAGTGGTCTGATTTGCGTGCAAGTTTTTGTCCTGGCGCTTTGTGACCGTCAAAAATATTACTTATTCATTTATTTATGCGTTTATTTATTTAGTTATTTAGTTATTTAGTTATATTGCGTATGGTTTTCCGAGTCATTCGATCATATATTTTTTTAATTTGTTCATTAGTTTATCTATCTCTGTATTCAGCTACCGTCTTTCCTGCTTTAAAGAGCTATTTTTCTGCTTCTGTGGACATCTGGGTTTCTTTAAGTCCTGTATTTAGTTCCCTTTTTACTTACGAGAGTTTGTAGTGTATCATGTCGTTCTGTCAATTAGTGATAATAAGCTGCCTGCTGCACCATAAACTCCCATATGGTATTGGGGTAGTTTATAACGCTGATCCTTTAAAAACCGCCTTTAGTGTGGCATCAGACACTCTGTTTTATTTTTATATAATTTTGTTTATTATGCCGCACTACATCCAAAAGACATTGCTCGAGCGGTCAGAGAAGTATGAAAAGAAACCAAAAATAAACTAACTGTACCGATAAATGTAATACTATTATATAGATGGATGAAATTAAAAATGTGGTGAGCAAGCTGTGATGTACATGGCGTTTTATCAGACACTTAACAGTTCACACCAAATGAGAGGGTGGTTGGAGGGTGCTCTGGTGTGCTTTGCTCTTTCTTTCCTATCCAACATCTATCTTCCTGATCTCCCATCCTTTTTTGTATTAATTTGTTACTTTCTTCATGTAACACCTCTTATCTTCAGCACTTATATGACCTTATTATGCCGTAAAACTCTTACCCCATATTAAAATGCAATCAATTATTAAAATTATTATTTCGTTCTGTCTTGTCGGGGATGGACTTTGACTTCAGAGGTGATGATCACAACGGACATTCCTTGATATACAATGATATAAAACAAACTCTATTACGTTTTAATAAATGCTGGTTTAATTGATTATCTTTTTTGGAGTAGTTTTGATAGAGTAATC